GCTCGGTTATCAAAAGGGATTTCCTCACGTGAATTGACGAGCACGTGGTCCGTACCCTCTCTCTGGGCACTCAGGTTCTGGAAATAGGCCTAGCTCTTCCCGGGTGAATTGGGCGTGCGCAGGACCAGTCGTTCTTCTAGCAACGGGTGTCTCTGGCACAGCATAAGGAATAGGTTTCAGATTCTCTCTCTTCTGTAATACACAATTTTACTACCAAACCCAGTACATCATTGCTCCCTCTCCCCAGCTTGATACACCACCCCTGAAGTCCTACCTAGCTCTGAGTTGTCCGACACACACAATGACTTTATTTCCCTTTCACACTGTTTTCAATACAAAGGTTTTCCTATTTTAATTCTGTTGCTGAGTTATTCCCTTTCTCAATGACGTGTGGTTTCAACAGCATTTATTAAAATTAAAAAGCACTTCCAAAAACCCAAGGTACAATTTTTTTTGTGAAAAAATTAAATGGACCGTCCACCCTAGGAACAGCACAAGGGCACTGGAGTTCCTCGGACACCTTTCTATCCATGCCTGCCTGTGGAAACATCCCAGCACGTCCAGATTTGCCCAAAGCACCCAGACCACTATAACTTAACACCACAGGCAACTTCAAAGTGTTGAAAATTAAAACGGCCCGAGATCCCTTTACAGCTTCAGTATAATCTGAGTCAATACCGGGCCCTTTCTCAAAGCAAAAATGTGCTGCCCTGTGCGGAGAGTGAAATTAATAATGCATGAGCAAGGCCAATACACAGTCTTTAATTATTCTTACCCAATTCAGAAGTCAGCTGGTACTTGCTGTCACCAGTTTCACACCAAACCTTGCTATCTTCAGCTTGGAATCTGAAAGCATCTTCTTCAGCACTAGAAGTGGGACAACATTGTATCTTCCAGTTTAACCTCTGCTTGCCAGTTATAGACCACTATGGCACAAGACCTTATAGAGCAAATGGCTAATTCTTACAACAGCGTGAAAGTCTTGACAGATTCTCGCCTGTTCTGAGACGCTGGGATAACTGATTATTTCTTTTCAGACTTAAATACATGAGCCTCAGACCATAAGAAACCCCTTCGGCCTAAGTAGGGAACTAAGAAAGTCCCGTGTTGGCAGAGCATCTTCCCGAAACAGGGAAGTTACCACTCAACATTTGCAAGGAAAATAGGTCCACCTGACAATTTTGGAACTTGGAAATCAGAGCTTTCCAACGCAGCGTGTGTGCTCTAGACACACGAACACGGAGTCTCTTCAAACGGTTGGGATCTCCGCTTGGTTCCTTACCAGGCTGAACGCGACTCACCAGTGCTCAGCGCACGCGGCATGCACACAGCTGCTCGGAAACGCGCTTTGAAATGCACTCGCTTTGGGGCGGGACAGCGTAGGCAGTGCAGGGGGGGCAAACATTCTGAGGAGAGGGAAGGCTTTTTTGAAATCCGTTGTCAGTCAAAACCAAATCAGCACTGCAGGCCAGGTCCGAGGCTCATTTAAATGCATCGGTGAAGTTACTACGATTTATTGCAGGTGAGGATTTCTTGTTTGAATTTTGAATGACTTTGAGAAGACATGTCTAAGTAAAAGTCTTTACCGCTGATGCTAGCAGCAGCTCTCAGCAGGCTGAGTTTATTTTGCTGCATTTGAGCAAGTCACCCACATCAACTGGTTACAGCTCCCCACAACTCCATTTCAGGGACTCCAAACAGAATTCCTCCTCTACTCTGATCTCCTGGGATCATAGATCACACGGTACCCGCGAGGACAGCCAGCAACCGCTTTCTGAAAAGCCTCTTTTATCACCATTTCATTTTACGGCAAAATGCAATCACTCAGCTCCGTCAAGGTTCCCTGGGCCTGCAGAGCGCCCAGCCAAGTGCAAACCCAGAGAAAAGCACCAGCCCAGTGAAAAGCTTCGCCGTGCCCCGTACGGATTGAAGAACAGAAAAAGAGAAATGGTAGGTACGTAAAAAGGGAAGGTGCTTGTTTACAGGATATGCAGTCACTTATATTTAGCAGCTAAATGTTCCATGCTGCTGGTGAAAGACAACGAGGGAAGTAAAGCGGCTCTCGGATAGGTTAACCACCAACTTTAATCTACAGTTTCGGTATTGCTGGGCAGCTGTTTCTGGGAAATATTGCTAGGATGCAAAATAGGTAAGAAAACCCCATGTCATTTGTTACCTCATCCCAAAGAACAAGAAACAAACACTGCTGCCTTTCGTATGAATAAGATCTACAGAAAGGTAATATTTATCTCTTCGTGTCTTGGAGCTCACTTTGTGCCTTGATAAATGCCTGTTAAACTGATGACTTGTTTGTCTTTTTTTGAACAAACCAAATAAATGAAGAAAGATAGTCTTATTCATTTCAGAGCTGGATCAAAAGCAATAGAACATAGCTCTTTCAGAATAAATAAAAAAACACTTTTAGCTTTTTTCTACAAAAACCCCATGTGATTATCAGAGAAAATGTTGGGAGGTTTCCACGCTATATTCGACTGTTCTATATGAATACAGTAGCTAAAACACAAAAAAATTTCCTTTTTTTAACATATGCAATTATTTGTGGGAATAAGTATGCATCTAATAGATCCGTAAAATATTACGGACAGAAATGATGGTATAAAAAGGTTAAAACTAGGAAGCTAGCTCTTTATAGCCAACTGCCTGTAAAGTTTATTTGAATTGCTTCTTATCCTCATCCCACCACTGCACAGGTTTTCACACGTGCTTTGCGCTGTTCTCTAGACAGCAATGGAGATGTTCCACTAAGTTAAGCGTATGCATCCGTCTTTGCAGGATGCTTTTCTTTCCAACACTAAAGACAGATCACCATCTCCCTCATCCACCGACCAATACTGTGACTTTCTCAGTTGCTACTGCTCATTCCACGGGTCATTTAAATAACATATTCCAGTTTTATTGACAGAAAATAAAACTAAATGGGGAGAATAAAGATTCTGGAAGCTCAGGGACCCCTGTTTGGCTTAGCTGGCTGCAATTTCTGGCATGCTGGTTTATCGTGTGAACTAGATTGCCATCATCTTAGGCCTTCTTTTGTGTTCACATAAGTTTAAAAAAAAAAAAAAAGAAAAGAAAAAATCAGATTATTTCCTTGATTTGGCAGGAGACACAAATTAACCAGGATTCAAGGAAGTCTGAAGTGATTATTCCCTGTATGCTTAAAAGATGTGCATTCAGATGCTTTGAAAGATTCATCTCCCAGGATCACGTTCTCAACCTTCATATCACTGAATTCATTTCTGTAAAATGACACACGTGTCCCAAGAACAGGCAATAATAATCCAAAGCCGGAATAACACCTCAGAAAGGACGTTAGCTCACTGCAATACAAAGCAACTCCAACGGTGGTCAACAGAGCCTGTTCCTTCAGCTTCACCAGGAGCTAAACCAGGCTCTGAAAGAAGAGAACGCTGGCGGTGGGAGAGGTACCACAGCCACGTCGCTGACCGTGAGATCCCAGTCTGTAACACCAGTAGCTGTTTCGTTTTAGGCTCTAGGCTGAGCATTCTCATGCTGTATCGAACAGAGCAGAGCTCTGGGATCTGCAATGGACAGGTCTTAGGTTTCCAGACAAGCTTTAAAGTGCTGGATTTAAACTATAAAAGCTCTTGATGATTTGGGGCTTAGTCATAAAGCAGAGATTCCCCAGGCAGGTTCCTTGCCACGTCCCCTGAAAGCAGAAAGATGTGCCGGGAACAAAGTTGCTGCATGAGAACCGTGACACAAATGCCCACACGTGCCATCATGTGTTATCATTCCAGGTAGATTACAGATATTTTTTATAATTTTTTCTTAAAGAAGGTGAACTGATGAGTATAAAATGATTAGATGTGTATTTTGACATACTTATAAAAAAAGAACAAAATGGAGAAAAACTGCAAAAAAAGTGTGCTAAAGATTTTTCATAGGTAATAAAAATAGAAAATGAAAGATGTATTAAGATGCATTCATTTTGTTTTGGTTTACTGTTCTCCCTTCCAATCTCTCTCTTGGTAACAAAGAAAAAGAACCAAGTGAGTGGAACAATAAAGGAAAAACTTCAAAAAAACCCCCAAACCCAGAAATATCACAACGTGAGTAAATTTTCAAGGCAAGCATTCTACATCATTACATTTTCAGGGAAGCTTGGGGGAGGAAATAACACACACTGAAAAGAATTCCTTTTCATGAACTATATGATAAAAATTACCCTGCAACCCTTTTTCATGTTAACTGATTGGAAGGGGGGATAGGGAGGAGAGGGAAGATGCAACTCCCACGAAATTTTACCAGTAGCTAATTAAATACACTGCTTCTAATTTTTAGCATCATGGACTTCAGGTATATGATTTATTCACCAATGTAAAAAAAAAACCCAAACCCCAAAGAAGGAGAAATCAAATCCTTTTCCATAGGTAAGAAAAATACTCACTGATGCAGATCACTAATTTTCAACAGTCCTAACAAACTCTGGCTGTATGGAGTAGCTCTTTCTTTCTATCAATATCAGAAAATGTAGCAGGCTGAAGAGGAAACAAAAGTTAAACCAAACCATTTTAAAATACAGTACTGTGACAGATTTTATTTCATTTTTATCAGTACTACATGCTTACTACCACTAGGAACAGACATGCCATTTTTTTTTTGTTTTGATTTTTTCTTTGTGGTTTTTTTTGTTTGCTTTTCTTAACCTATATTAAATGTTGACCTAAAGCTTGCTGTGCCTTGGAAATCTGGCTCAGGAGTTAACTGCATGAATTTTTATTTAAATAGATAAGCACTTAAGTTTGAAAATAAGACAAATACAGGTGAACAGGAAAATTAAATTACAAATTCAGTTCATACAAATATCTCTTATTCTATGCACTAAACCCTGTTAATTAGCTGAGATCTTTTAAAAATTCTTAGAATAGTTATGAAACATTATTTACAAATTATATAAATAAATCCTAGGTCACTTTTAAATTAACCAATACAACAAAAAAGTCACCTTTTTGTACTGCGTGTACTAAAAATGTTCTTGTTTATTGATCATAACCCAGTTTGCAGTATAAAACGTTTGTTCACTTACATCAAAATGGGTTCAAATAGAAGGAAGGAAGGTATTGGTTTCAAAAGAAAACAAAACAATATTATAAATGTTTAAGATCAATGAGGCTTCTTAATGTTCTTTCTGCACGGTTTGCAGTCATTTTTAGAAGTCCCTTCTACAGTATTCGTCTTGTGAACAGGTCATCTCAAAATAGCAGAGACATAGTTTTAGCAAAGGGAAAAATACTCGGACCATCGCTCACACTTCACAAAGACCTTGTACCAGGAGGGAAAGGACAGAACGGAATGTCAGTGGCCAGCACAAGCCTTTACAACATTTAACTTAAAAGGCAGCATTTATAGAACTAATCACAGACTATACACATCCTGCACTGAACAGCAATCAAAAGGACTGGAAAATATACATTTAGGAAAACGAGAGACCGATGGTTTTCCATTACCTTTGTTCAAATTAATGCTTTTCTCCTTGTCTTTTGTTTTAAAACCAGCATCGACACCACCACCAACTACAACTACCTTTGCCTTTAACATAATATATGCCAGGTAACTACTGTACGTGAGAAATGTACAATAAAAGGAGAGAAACCACTCAGTTTTCTATGCAGACACATGAAAATATAAAGCCATACAGATTCCAAAGTGCCATGAATACCAAATTCAAGTGATGGTTGATAGCATGTAGGAAAGAAACTAAATGGAACTTGCTCTATGGGTTGCCAAGCCCTTCAGCTGCATCTTCTGTTTCCCCTTTGGCTGCTTTGGTGAGAATTTCCATCCATTTCATCTGCAGTTCTTCATCTTCCGCACTGAAATACAGAGTTTGCTGGGACTGGCAAAGCTTAAAAACATGCTTCACTTCAAACTTCTCACCAGAACCTGGTAAACTGACTTCGTATCCAGGCAGTGGAACAGGGCGTGGGCTCCGTCCATCCTAAAGAGGAAAGAACAAATGTAAAAATTCAGCAACAAATGGTATTTGAAAGGGCACGAGTGGGGGAATCTGTGCGGGGAAGAAAGATTTCCTCTCGACCAGGTTAAAGAAACGCCTCTTTCAAACAGTTTAAAACTCGCTTTGAAGTAGTGAGATGAAGTGACTGGAGATACATTACCCTACTCCCGAGACATTGTCACCAGGCACACGCTCAGACAGCTACACCGCAACCCTCACCGCGCCGGCGTGCCTCGGTGCGTGCTGCCGGCTGATAACCCCCCGTGCTAGGGCTGCAGCCTGCCGCCCCTGCGCACAGAGCCGACGCACCGGTAAGCACAGGAACGCGGTTCCAGAGCACACGTGCGCTCGGCTCCTCATTCAGCACTGTAGCTTAGAAAACAGAGGAGAGGCGACATCGACTGCTTAACTGAAAACAATAGAAGGCAATGACTTCTTGGTGCTTTATTCTTCTTATTGAACAGATTCCCTTTCACAGGATGAATATGGATCCGGCAGTGGCACGGCTGGGGGTTGCCATGTAATTTCACACAACTTACACACGCTGTCTTTCACAAAACCCCTCTGCAGTAGGTAGAGGCAATCAGATCCAGCCGAGAGCAGTGCGGTGCAGTCCTTCCTGAAGCTCATGGGCCATCGCTAAGATTGGTTTAAAGGAGACAAACAAGCAGAGCTGGACACTGAGAGACACAAAGACAACTACCAGGGAAGAGACTTTGAAAGAAAAGAGGATTTCAGATTTTAGATAAATCAATGAATCTTCTCAGGAGGCCTTGGGTTATTTATGATGCTTTTCAGAGTTGTGAAGGAAGTCAAAGCTCAGATTCTTGAACACCCTTTGAAGGCCACCTTAACTCACAGCTCCCAGGAGCGACACAGCTCTCTAGCAGTCACATCTTGAGCACCGACCCAGCTCTCAGGAAAGGCACACTTTGGCAAGGCAGGGCGTGCCGTGACCAAGCAACTCGTTTCAGCTGATGCCATCAAAGCATTTTCAAAGGTGAGTCCCCAAACCGAAGTCTAAACCCCATAGGCATCAGGCATTCAGAAGAAGCCATCACCTCTTGTAGCAGCTACTTGTGTAGCAGCTACTACTTGTGTAGCAGCATACTCAAGTTCAATGCCTCATACCAAAGCTAACAAGGCATCGCACGAAGGGGTGGCAAAGTCATTCTTTTGTCACCCCACACAGAATGCAGATGACACAGTAAATCTGGAAGGAGACCACAGCTCTGAGAACAATGGCAAAAAATCTGCTTTTCTATCACTTAGACGCAAGTAATTCAAGTTTCAGAACTGCTCACACCAATGCCAAGGCATACGTTAACTAAAGGGGCAAAAAATGCACAGTCAAAAATGTGTCTACGCACTTTATTAAATCCCTGCAGGTTTCCTGATTTATTCATCTACTACTTGTTATTGTTATGCAGAAATGACAGAGCCCATCTGCTTGAAGACCAAGCACTATGCAAGGAGGTTTACGTCAGCTTTGGGTCAAACACTAAAGAATTCAGTTCCTGTTTGAGTGCAAGCCGTTGTGTTAAAAGCAGCACACAATTTCTAGATCCTGACACCACGGCCACAAAAATACTTCTCTAAAACCCTGAGCTCGACTTCAAACTCAGCTGCTCCCTTATTTTCTAGGAGTAAGTCACGTTTACATGATGAATAAAGGATTCTTCTTCGGAATTTATAAAGCAAATTTTTCTCTTGGATCAAACCTGGTAATTCTTATATACACTAGCTCTCATTCTACTAATTTACCCTCCATACTTCTCCAAAACTCATTACTTCTCTAGCTAGCTGGGACTCCTTCGTTCTGCATTTCTCAGTCAGGTGTAAGGTAATGTCAGAGCTCTGGAAGTTGCTGCACATTGTACAAGGCCAATGGGGGTGGAAGCTCCAGGTGGAGCCCTGGGAAAGACAGACTCATTTCTGTAACACCGCTGATCCTTAAGCTTGAGGTGGTCTCTGCTTATAAGCAAACTCTTATAATTCCACTCAGATAAACATGACAAACAGCTGCACAAATTCTGTCTCAGTCTGAGGACAGATAGAATTGGTATGATTTCCATACCTAAATAAGCTGTGAATTTTATCTTCATGCATAAAGCCTTATGCAAGCCTTAAACCGTGAACATTCAGGGGATTAATTCGTTCTCCTGGAACAAGGATCTAAAGCAAAAGAGCAGTTTTCTTGCTATTTTAGAGCCTGTGAGTCACATTTCCATTTGCACTGGCATCCCTTCTTCGGTGTGAGGGACAGGGGTGCAGAGGACAAAAGCTGTCGGGGCTTTTACTGTATCAGAAGCTCCAGACTCAGCTTGGTTTGCTCCTGCTTCCCAGGAGGCAGCTATTCTTTCTGTTCTTTTTAAAAATAATCCCCCAACTTTCAAACTCCTACGATCACACTTCGCTTGGTCTGGGTTTCAAGACCTTTAATACCACTGTTGACAATATTATTCCCAAAAGGCACCTCTTTTTTCAGGCACTGAAATGCTGCTTCACAGGCCTGAAGAGGTTTGTGAGACGTGCTGAGGTGGTTGTACAAAACAAAACAACGCCTGGGAAAACAACGCTCAAGCACGTGAGTGGTTCCCGACTGGTTCCAGACACTCGGCCACGAGGAAAGCGGCTCTGGAAGAGACTTTTCTCAGAAGGCTAGTGTATACTATGTAAACCAGAACTAACAAGAACATTGGGTTAATATCAAGAATGGGATTTGCTTCGTGATTTTTCCCTTCAGCTGGATGCAAAGTGGAGGAAGTGTGCAAGTGGGAGCGGTAGGCCCTTGAAGGAGGGCGCCTTTTTTTGGTTTATAGCCTCAGCTCGCAACTGGCGATTCGTGAGAGTAAATCCTGGCTTGGCTACTGGATGTATGATAGATCAGCCTTGTCCCGTGTACTTTCTTGCCAGTTCACTGGGAGATTTATCTCACACCTGAAATAGTCGAGGACACTAACCATAAAATTTAACTGTCACGAAAGCAACAATCAGTGTCAAAGGCACCCTTTTCCCCTAAAACCCACGATCTTCCTAATAATGTTAACAGGGGCTCAAGATCAAGTTTGGCAGGGCATGGAGCAAAGAACATAGCATCTGAAGCACAGAAGCTTCTCCAGCTTCCACCCCTCGCTTTGCACAACTGTCAGGAGGGGCCCTGCAGAATGGAGCATCACTCTGCTGTGCACTACGGCTGATTTACGTCCCATGGGTTATTACTTGTGCTGTCCTGAGACAATCGGTTGGGCACTAGGAGAAATTTTCTTTCTAGGTCATACCACCTAAGTGGCGTTGCTTCCTCTCAACTCTTCATTCCAGTCACCTCTCAGATGAGACACGTTGCTCCTGGGTGAGGAAGGCCAAAGAATTTAGACCTCTCTCCCTCTATCCCTACTCTCCTTCCCCAAGCTTGCCTGCGCGAGACGCTCTGGCTTGGTTTGTGCGGAATACAGGGCTTGCACCGCTCCTTTGCTGAGGTACAGTTTCCACATCGGCTGAAAAGTTTTGCAGCAAAGCCATTCTCTCTGCTTTGCTTTTCAAAGCTTTTTTCCTTTTCCCAGACCCTGACTCCAGAGAGATCTAAAGACTGGGTTTGTTGCGTTCGTTTTAGTGCTTGGTCTGAGGCCAGTTGCTTTTTCAACTCGTAATTTCAGTCACGCGTCTCCTGATGACGAGGAGGGGAGCCAGGCAGCGCGCTGCCCGCGGGATGGATTGGGAGCTCGCCCAGTGTGGGCTCTGAATCCCAGATGAAGCCACGTGGGCTGTGTCCGAGCTCCAAATTCAAGCTTTCAGCCTCTCAGGCACTACGCTTAAAACATGACACACGCTCGTTTAAAACCAGCGGTGTTCTTGCTGACAAGCGGCAGAACGAACACGCCTCTAAGGACAACGTGTACTTGTTGTCGAACATTTGCTACGGGGTAAGCTTTACTTTGAATAGCTTTAGAAAATCATGGCTAATATTTACTTCCCAGACTGTTCTCGCTACAGCCATGCAAAGCGACGCTCATAAAAAGCAAACCCTTCATATCGCTACAATTACAGCAGGGGAATGGTAGGCTGAATTCGGACCCATTCCTTCTTCCGTCCCACCCAGGAGATACAACGAGGCTGCACATAAACGTGTCAAACGCTGAATACAAAATCGGATACGAGGGATCTCATTTCAGCATTGCCATTCTTTATCTTCAGGATATCTAAGGAAGCATGACTGATATTTCCATTTCGGATATTCCATCTTGGATATAGACATATCTATCACCTGACTTACATCACACACAAATGCTAGTTAGCTTCAACAATGCGCTGTTTAAAAAAAATAAAAAAAACCCACCTTACCACAGTAATTATTTCAAGTAAAGATAAAATCACAGGATGCTACAATAAGGAGATTTACCAAACACAGTCCATTTTTCAGGCTGAAGAGCATTTAAATTTCCACAAATTCCTCCACCCTCTCAACCCAGAACTAGGTTTAAAAAATAAAAAAACTAAAAAGCTTGAACCAGCAATTGCAATATTCAGACTGCTTCACAGCTCTATACATTTTACGGGAAAGTGCTTTCCCTAATGACAGGGCAATAAAGCCTTTGAATATACCTGTCTGAAACCTGTAAAACCCCCAAAACATAACCTAATTATCTGTGTTTTGTCCTTTTTTGTTAAAAAATGGAAAAGAAAATCGATGAGCTTAAACATTTGCTCACAACCGTATCAGCAGTAACTACAGATAACAAGGAAATCTGAAATCTCTGAGGCTTTGTGCTATATTCAGAATACCAAGTTCATTTTTGTTGTTGAAACCAAGCCAAATCCTTTGACCTACTTCTCAACTTGACATATTTAAACTTAGGCTTTTTTTTTTTTTTTCTTCCTATGTGTTAACCCTCATGAATGTCATTTTACCTGGCTGCTTCCTTGCAGATACAGAACAAGAGGTTCAGTCTTGGGGATGGTCACCCACATTTTGTACCAAGTCTTCCCTTTTTCAAGGAACTGGAGGTAGCTGCTGAAGAGGCTGTTTTCAGCTGCTAAGATGCTTTGCTTCTGGATGAAGAGAAGAGAAAGAAAAAAGAAAAAAAAAAGAAAAAAAAGCTGTTTCCTTTGATGCTTAGATGGGCAAAATACTTAGAATTAAGTATAAAATATATTTAAGTTGTCCAGAGTCAAATAATACTGTAGGGCAAATGCTGGATAGCCTGTAACTGAACAAAAGTTTAATCATTACTATATATACCAACAAGAAACAGCACAATTCCATGAATTCCATGTAATAGAGGCAGATGCTGAACTACTGTTCCCAGCGGACGTGAAGTTAAATTCCACCTCCACCAAGTAAATTGAGAATGGTAATTAAGATGATGCAGCTAGTTTCTTGCTTAGCAAAATAGGCTGGGAGATGATTTCAAATTAATGCAAAAGGTGTATTGAGAGACTCTCTTGTGCGCGGATGCAGAGAGATGTGAGCCAAATCAGAGAGCACCAGGGCAAAAAAAAAAAAAAAAAAAATCGAAAGAAATTTTTGTCTTCGGATAGAAAGCAAAGAAATCCAAAATTCCTGTTCACATTAGACTTTGCACAGAAGTCTCCTGGGGATTTCTGGCATCTGCTAATAACACTTCTAAAGTGGCAATCTCCTCAGCTGCTATTAAGCTTGTTAAGAAAGTTTAATGTAAATAGGAGGGAAAGAAAAAGACCGGCTCTGATCTTTCTTTTTTATACATCTACTTTCTTGCATTTTACCTGATCCTTTGAAGATTTAGCAGAAGGCTAGAAGCCTGAGCGTATGAGGGAAAAATTACTCTTTTCCTTGGGTTTTTACAGCTTTCTGCTGTAATCTGCTTTTCCAAAGTAAAGCCATAGGTCACATTTCACTGGTTTGCTTTTTGGCTTTTCAGATTAACAGAGCTCTCGGCTGAGTAGCTGTAGGTTTTCACTTTAGTGGCAAACAGCTCTGCTGAGACAGTGCTAGAAAGTTTATCACGAGATACCACAGACTATACGGATGCATATTAAATGCTCATCATCCGTAGGCACAGCTGTAGCGTATATCTGAAGTTTTTGATGGTATCAGGCTCTGGATCCAGAATCTTCGCTGCGTTCCGCAGACACAGTAGTTCAGGGAAGGACAATGTGCATTTGTAGGTTCACCCCACTTTGTATTTCTGAGATTCTGGACGCGTTTGGGCACAAAGCTGACAAAGCACCCGAGCAGCAGAGTTCACTCTGGGACACCGTGCTGGTGTAATTTTACCCGCGTAGGTACATTTAGGAGCCTGGAAAGAAATATGACCTGCTGGGAAGCAGAGCGGGGCAGGATCTAAAAAGACTGTTTGAGGAAGCATTTATTACAGGAGCTCTGGGTATGCACTGGCAGGTTTACGTTTCTTTTCCACGTAGTCTGGTTCTGAGGAGGAAGATAACAAGGCTGGAAGGCAGTCTGATGGCTCTGAGGAGTGGCTTCCAGAAAGATGTTTTTCAAGGTAAGCTGTTTTTCGGTATAGGCTGCAACGATTTCCCAATTTTCCACGCAGTGCTCAAAGCAGGATGGTGTAGGTCAGCATATCAGAGGGAAGGACGAATTGCAATGAAGTTCTCAGTGTGTCAGTGGGTCCTTCAGGAATCTGATGTCCCTGCGGGTCCACTTTCAATTGAGATGTATGTCCTCTTTTACACACGCAGTGACTTCTGGCTGTATTTCACAGGTAAAATAAATAAAACCTTTTTCTTCAAGGTGGCCCATGAAAAGCGTGGCATGTAATGGTACTCACAGCTCTGCCCATAGTCTAAAAAAAGCATTGGTAAGAGAAGGTTCAGTTGTTGTGGGTGAGGATAAAACAAATCAGTTTGCCAATACCTTTCTTGTTCTTGTAAAAAATAAGGGTAGAATGTGCTGCTATCACGGTATAAAGCTTGGTGACATCTGTGGCAATTGCGAAGCAGTGGTTTACACAGTATAATCTGTGGAAGTCACGTCTTGGAGAAAAGAGTCTGCATTATAGCAGGGTTCAGAAAGTTTCAGTGAATCCTGACAGTCTTTCGGAAGGATGCCATGCTTCTGCATGATCAACTAAGAAAAAATTCATTTCAATGATACTTTGACAGGATGTGAAATAAGGAGTGCAAAAGTATCTTCTATTTGGAGTTAAAAGTGAAAAAACAAATCTTATTTTCCCAAATTTTGCCCATAGTTATTTTGCACAACTCAAGATTGGAAATGCACCATAATAAAAAGAAGCCAGAAGTTTCTCCTCTTTTTTTGTTACTCTGAAAGCTGAAGCTTAGCTGCAAAACCAGCTGCATCCCTGTTTGTTCAGCATCCTACGATGAACGCTCGCCATTTACAAACAGCATTCAGGCTGCATGCACATTCAATTCAAGCTATAGGCCAGATGGTCAAATATGGTGGGCGGAAAAAAGATAACCAAACAATTTTATTTGTTTTAAATAAATACCTTAAAAGAAAAAAAAAAAAAAAAAAAGAGAGAGACTCACAAGGGCAGCTAGCACACCAAAAGTTTTTTAGCTAACTACTGTACCTCTGCAGCTAGCCTTTTCTTTTGTTCTCCCACTGCTTCCACTCCAGGGCTGCACGGGCTTGCTGGTAACTGCAGAAAACACTCTTTACACACTCGATTATGACGGCTGTTATCTGCAAGTGGTTTAAACTCGGAGCATTTTGCACAGATCACCTGTATCAGAAAGATGATGCTTTATTAGCCATCACCAAAGCGTAACTCTTCTCCAAATCAAGTGACTTGCAGAACGGTTGTTATTAAAGTAAAATCCGGAAAACTAATGTAAGCATAAGATAGAGCGACCAATATAATATTTATTTACTTCCATTAATAATTAACATTTTTGTGATCCCATGCTGTGTACCAATATATCTAAATAAAGGAAACATATGCCTTTTGGGAAATACTTTATGATTAACATCATGCAAGTTTGCTTTTCTTTCCTTATAAATCTTTATGAGTCAATAAGGGCTTAGGTTGACAAAGCAACTAGTGCTCTTTAATGCCAGTCATAAAACGGTCTAGGAAGGACTGATTTTCAGAGTAATGGCGACTGACGCTTCCTCATCCATTAGGCAGTTCAGTCTGATACAACTGAGGGATCCAAAACTCACTGGCCATTTTAAGACCACAGTCCTATATGTTATCCATTAAATTAACAACTTTGGACTCCTTTCCTCAGCTGCCAAGAGCACACAATGACACAGCAGTCCCACGAAACCAGCGCTTGTGAAGAGTGATGGGCGTGCAGCTCCAGAACCCCTTTCCACGCTCACAACCTGGCTCTACCGCTTGCTGCTGCTGCTCCGGGGAGAGGAACCGTCCCCTGGGGTGCAAGGCAGGGGCAGGCAGCCGGGTTCCACAGCCGTGCTGCATTTCCTGCACAGTCATACACCCCAGGCGCCCTTCAGGTACAAGTATACGTTATTATGCGCTTCACTGCAAGGTGTAAATGACTACAGGAAGAAAACTGCCTCAATTCAGCAAGTGTGAAGTGAAGCACTGTTCTGCCAAGTTATATAAACAAAATCAAGCTAGCGTTTTTAGAAACATGAGAGTCTTTCCTTCAGACAAATTAGCTTCTTTAATTTGAATGCTATTGCCACATCACAAAACATCCCAAACCCAAAAACTGTTTAACAGTAAATTATTAATAATGTAATTCTTATCTCTCTGTCCATGGGGAAAAGCTATTATTTAATTTCTTTAATAATACTGAGCTTTGCAATGGAGCGTTTTAAACCTCCAGAAATGCATTTCATTATTTTAGTAATAACAAATCCAGAAGGTTGAAAATCCCAATTCTGGTGCAAATGTGTCTCCTCCACAGTAATTTTATTTCAGTTAGTAAGACTGAGGTTTCTTCAAACATCTTAACTATGCATTTAGGTCTCCAGCTGAAAATTTATCTCCACTTCAAATGAATAATGGTATTTAAATAACATTATTCTATACTAGTTACATTAGGAACAGTGAACCATGAAACTCAAGTTACAGGTTTCAAGTCAGATTACAGAAATCAATCTCATCTTGGCCAGGGTTGCGATTTTCAGAACGCCCCCCGAGAAGCTAGCTGTCAGCGAAGGGCGCTGGGGAAGGGTGCCTCAGTGCCTTCGGTAACCTGGCTCTGCAGCTCCAGGAGCGATACGGTTCTGACTTTTCAAGCAGGAGGAAACCACTTTGGCACAAGCCATCCTTGACTGCCCTGCTCCAGGGCAAGGAGAACCCATCCATCTTTAACACTGCACGTTCAACAGCTGCTCATCCTGGCAAGAGCTGCTGTCTGAAGCAAGGCTGTCAAAGGCCGTTGTGTTTCTGCAAACACAATACAGGGGACACCCCCTCTCCAGATACATGCGCACCCCCAGAGAAGGCACCACCTTCCTTTTTACCCACTGAGGTGCTGTATTTGCCTTCGGAACAGCACAGACTAGGCCCCTTGCACCAGGCCTTTGCTCTTTTTCCCCTGGGGGGGGGAAAACAAGCGGAAAGATCCGCTCTGTGAATGACCTGCCATGAACCAGAACATCTTTTAGTTCTTGCAGTGGAAAAAAAAAAAAAATTCTCTTCAACAGCCTTTGCGGAAGAAACAGAAAAGCTCTGTGCATTCCGATACTTACTGCCCCACACTGCTTACAGTGGTGCCGCCTTTTTGTGATGGAGTTAAAGCTCTCGCTGCAGCTCTTGCAGGCCTGTTTCTCCTTGTCTCGCTTGGATTTGGAAGATTTCCTACAGGAATCACTCTGAAAAGTACAATGATGATTTTTATTGAAATAAAAACTTAAAAAAAAAATAATTGCAAAACAATTCATAGACTTCTCCTACTGCCAAAGATCCTCTTAGGGTCTCACACCATTTTAGAAAACAATTCAGGTCAACTCTGCTAAAGGCCTACAGCTGGCTGGCTCAGCCATCGGGTGTTTCTGGTGCAGCATTATGGGTCTCAGATTGCTCGAGCCGATTCTTCAAGTCCCCCTCTGCCCACTTGTGCCCTTCCAGCCGCTGCATGAACTCAGCTCAGCCTCTGCTGGTAAGGAGGATGAGGAAGGGGGCTTGCCAAGAGTTACAGAATGGCAGGGGTTGGCAGGGACCTCTGGAGATCATACTATTCCTCCTTCCCGGTCAGGATGGCGACATGCAGGGGCCGAGCAGCTCCCCGGGGGTGAGCCGGGGCACCACTGGCCAGCAGCATCTGCGGGGAGATCCCAGCCCCAAGGAGGTGGCTGCATCATGGTCCTCCAGCAAGGCTCTTTCAGGAGAAGAGGTTTGATAACTCTCTTCATTTTTGTTCGCTTGACACAATCATTTAACAAACTACTGGGAGAAGAATCATTTCCTCTAAATAAAAAGAGCGGAGGTATTTTACATTTTTTTCTGAAAATCAACCAGGTGAAGATCAGGCCCATTGCAGGTTACACAGATTCTGGACTCCTCGACAAGCCCCCCTTCCCTTTAAGCCACTGCAGCACAACTTAAGTCACAACTTAAGTCCACTTGAGAGAGAACAATTGGCTCACCAAATTTCCCCTTCTTCAAAGCCTGTATTTAGCAGCAGGAGGTGGGCACGTGGGGGCGGGAGGAAAGGCAGCAGCAGTTACAACTAGCGGAGCTGCCCACGGATCACCAGGCAGGCGGCACCAGCACTAGGGACATCATGCCATTTGCCCTACGCTCTCACCTTAGTGGTTATGACTAACCTGCAGAAGCCACTAATATAGGTTTCTAGGCCAATTAAAAAAAGAATAACAACAAAATTTATAAGCTGACTCCACTCTCCCATCTTTCAGCCTCCTTGAGTCTCTGCCCTGCCGTTCCCCGGTTAGAGGACAGCACGCTGGCTTTCAGCAGAGCGAGTGAAGCCACCCTGTCTTGTAAGGGCATTACACAACAAAACCACAACTAATTACTTCTAATTGGCTTGGATCTTTTCATTTTTATTAACTTTTCTATAGCTGCCACAGCAATGTTTCAAACTTGTATACAAGTACATAGGATGTTTTGCAATTCAGCTTGGTGAAGCACAGTCATACGGATTTGTTCATTCAGGAAAATCACTATACCCCCATATACGTACATGTTAATTGCTCAGCAAAACAGAATGCCTGCAAATCCACATCCTCCCACACACATAAGCGGAGTGCAGTATTTCACTTTTCTTGTGAAGAACCAGATGTAACCAGTATGACACTGAATTACAACCACCGAACAATGCCTCGGATGAATCACTGGCAAGAACGTTCCTTTCAGACTCTATTAGACCCCTCCAAGTAAGGCACATAATTAAGGCGATTCGAAACGCTTTTACTGATCAGCAGCAATCTACAGGGAAGCTTTTTCATTTGTATCACATATATTGGCTAAAGTCAGCTGTTTCTCACTCTGATTTTGACGCTAATGCTATTTAATTTTTTAGAAGACTGACTTTTTTTCTACTGGTTATGGATGGAGTCCCCTTAAGTTGTTACCTCAGAGCTTTCCCTTACTGGTCAACCTTATTTTTTCTCTTCTCAATAGTCAAAATTTGCATATAGTGTAACAAGCCTTTTGATTCTTTTGTTAACAACAATTTCCCTAGCGTTACTGGAACGGCAAGAGCACAAATGAAGGCACCCTTTAGCCTTGTGAGCTGTGACTGGAAGATAACCTTGATGAATGCTAAGCAGAACCAGTTTTTGGCTTTCAATCGATACCTACACATGCCCGCGTAGGAAAAATGCTGAAGTTCCTCTAACACGAATTGAATGGACTGCTTCCTGTGGAAATTGGTTAATTCGATTTGTACTTCAATAGGAATATCCATCATCACCCACATGCATGTTTCTATAACACAGACAAGACTCAGGTTGCGTACTTTCTCTAATGGATCTGGTATTTGACTTCCTCCTCAACGTCAAACAGCCTGGACAGTGTTCACTTTCAGAAATACATGACCCGTATATTCGACAAAGGCAAGAAAGCAGAAGGGGTATTACATTGGGGAAGATTTGTCAGGACAGTTATGCATGAGCTTTTATTTTAGACCATTATATTTATTTTAGACCATTATATTTTAACTTGCACTGTAGCATACAACAAGCTTTTAATACTAACTTTGCTAATCAAAAAAGGCCCTGTATAAGAGGTCTTTAAGTGTTTGACAAATACCAGCAAAGTTTCGTAGTACTTCTCAACTGAGAATACGGTGAGAACACAAGAGTTTGAAACATTGCTATTGCAGCTGTAGAAAAGATAATAAAAATGAAAATGTATTTTCTTTATGACTTGGCAAATTCCGATGAGCAGTTATAGAAGAAAGACTTACTCAATATTATGTTATTTAACTGCTGACACTGGGAAAGAATTAAGAAGCCCTTTGCTTTCCATCCCCGTGAAAACCATGAGACTTTGCTGCACGGGCAGTCCCCTCATCCCACCCAGCGATGGCTCCGGAAGTTGACTTTGCCACGTACTCTTAACTACACACCATCTGAACATCTTGTAGAAAAACAAGGATGTGCACTGTAATACACAAACCTTGCTCATGAAAGATAAATTTAACAGTCACTTTGCAATTGTGTCCTTTATTACAGAAGTTATCTGCTGTCGATGTACGTTAAGAGGAAAACTAATACAAAGCTTCCCTAGCTTCAACTGGAGTATCTTGATAGTAACGCACATGAGTAATTGTTGTATTTCTCATCTGTCTTGGTGTACCCAGCTCTGATTTGAAACTGCTGAGTCTGACAGGAAAAATCTACTTGCATAAAATCTGTTCAGAGCCAGGATCTACAATAACTTCTTTCAGACTGGGCTGTTTTGACCACTAATTTGCTTTTATTCCACACCTGCATTTAACTCTCTACATCTTGACAGTGTCCTCCCAACTTCAACGTTTTGGTGGGAAAAGAGCATATACCCCAGCGAGAGGTACAACTCATGCCTAGAGCTAAGTGACTGTGAGGTGAAGGCCTGTAGGAAAGCAGACATCGCACCATCAGGGAATCACTGGAGCCGCCATTTATTTCTGAAAAGCAGCGAAGAAACACCAAGAGCTGGTAGGAACAGCAAGAAAACCAATGGGCTCAGGAGACTGTTGTTCTGTTTATTACTTGCTATGTATTTCATTCTGTCTGGGCCAGTAGGTAGAAACAAAGCCTCGACGCTGTATGTGCAACATATAGAGTCTGATGAGACTTTTCTATATGGGCACGAGCATGCGCAACAAAGGGGTTTCAAATCGTTTACTTCTCATTATGCTTATACAGCTGCGTATTTGCCATTTATGAACTACATATTTGGAGACACCTGCAATGGGGCAGAACATCAGCAGGTGCTTCTGCAATTGCTGAATATGTGTGAGAGATTAATTTAAATTATATAGTATATTTTGTACTTTGTAATGCCGCAAAATTGTTCCGTTTGTTTCTCTGTATGCCAACGTCGTATGTGCAAGGTTACACGTAAGACAATCTTCCAATGGCTCGTAGTTTCCTCATGCCCGCAGAGTGCTGAGCATAAACTGCGCTAGCAGCGCAGCCAACAGTTTCCGCAGTGCTGTACAGCAAGCGGATTGCGCTTCCTGCAGCGGGTTTTCACGGTCTGGTTATGCTAACAGGCAACGCTGAAGAAGAGAGGAGCAGAGTCCTCAGGAGACTCCGCAGCACCACAGGAAGGAGATAGCAGTTTGCTGACCACCACTACCACCAAGTGGTTTGCGTGTGGAAGCTGTTCAGCACAGGACGTACTTGCTCCTGTACTCACCGAGATGTTTCTAAAGGGATGTCATCATTACAAATTAATATATTCTAAAGCCGCAACTAACATCTGAATTCATTGCTCGTGTTGATGTTATCCATTTGCTACAATACAGCAGAATGAGAACCCAGAATTAATAATACACAAATTTGGATATTTTCAGCTTTGTGGTTTTGATCAACTCTGTTTTTATTTCTTTCTCGGGAATTAAATTTTTCTTTAAATACACAACTTGAGGAAAATTACTTAATGTGTCAAGATATACTATGCAAATCACTGACACAACTATTTATAATCAACTAAAAAGATCTATTTCTTTCCATTTAATTAATAACAGCTAAAATTAACATTTCCCTCAGAAACTTAAGGCCAACATAAATTATTTTTAAATACTATAAAAAGCATCTTTTTCATGAAGTAGCTAGCTCGCTATAGCATCTGTAGCTCAAGGAACCGGGGCACTAATCGCAAAACTGACTACAAATAAAAAATTGCTTAGGGAAAAAATGAAGTGCGAACAAACAATAAACAGCAAGGAGTACACTAATTACAAACACTTATTTTTAATAAGCTCTTGCTTGTATCGGTCAGGTTGCTGGCTTGTTTAACAGCTTTTCATTGACACTCTGTAAACTCTACCAGTAGGTTACAAGCTTGGCCAGAGCTCTGGAAGTGCCTGCTAAGCGGCTCCTTTGTTATTAAACAGGCTGGCTAATAATACATAATATCCTATAGTGTGTCTCAGCAGATAGGAAGTTTTTTGGTTGTTGTAGTTTCTTCTTGTTGGGGCTTTTTTCAGTAAACTCAGCTGACCCTAAAGCATTTCCTGAAAATCTGTTATTCTCAGAAGATATTTTAAAAGGGAGAGATAAGAATGCTAAAAAATAGATCTTATTAAGGACTCAAAACCCCTGGTTTGACTCAGCAGCAGTCACAGACGTTGGAAAGGGCAAAATGAAAAATATCTTTAAAAGTACATTTTGCTTTTGCAGCAGCCAACCACTTCAGGCCAGAGATGTATGAAAGCACCATCATCTCCTCCTCCATATTGGCAGAAACATGAAAAGCACGCTAATCAAAATTTGGTTCTGGAGATGAAATCCTGAGTTATACAGTATGGCAGCATTAACCAGCCAGGTTTCCTTGGCTCTCTTTGCCCTCCTCCCCCAAAGCATTCCACGGGGCTCCCTATCAGAATTTAAAAACGAACAAAAAACCCCGCAAAACAACTCCCCAATGCTACAAACGTACCAATCAACTTCCCCCTAGCCGGGTTCCCCATAACCAGCTTCACACACATGTGCAGCATGTATCTGGAACGGAGGAATTAAATTCACTGTCGGTGCAGACTCTGCAAGTAGCTGTGGGTGGGACTTTGCCCAGAAGCTAAGGACAGCACAGCTGCAGCAACAGGCAGCAGAATATCAACTGGTACACTGAAGTATCTCTGATTATTTTTTTTCCTGCTACAAAAGAAACATAACCCCCACCTCGCCTTGCTCTGCTGAAAGTATTAGCTTCAAATTACTTACCCCTCCAAATGCACCACCACCATCTGCTCCTGGCATCGATTCCACCGAGCTGGTGCTGGCTATCTGAGAGAAACAGAATGACACACAACAATTTCAACATGGACATTCTTCCTAAAATACGTTAAACACTGAAAAAGAAAACGTGGCATCATTTGCTTGTGAACGCACTTTCATTGCACGAGTCCTCAGCCGCCCCTGAGCCCCGGGCTCACCACGGAGCGGATGCCCAGCCTGCATTTCGCAAAGCGCGTACCTATCCCCCCAAGCACCCCCCAAGCACCGCAGAAAGCCATCGGGCAGGATTTGGATTACACCGCTCCATCTCGGCCCTGCAAACCAACGAGCAAGTGCTTTGTGCAGTCGGTGGGTTCTGAGGAGGAAGAATATTTACTGCATTCAAATAGTACTCAGTTACGTTTTTCTTAATTTTTCTTAATTGCAATACATCTCTTAATCTCTTAATAAATGCTAACTGGCATCTATATGTATTCAATATATGTATTCAATACAAACAGAGGGCAAGTAACAAGGTTATGTACACCAAAAATCACAAGCTACATCCTAAAAGGAAAACTGTCTCATCTGTCATTAATTTGCAGGGAGTTTCCTAGTTTACAGGGGTTCTCAAAATATCAGACTCTTCATGATAAACTCTCCTGTTATTCCCACAGATCATTCTTCCTGTGCCAATTAAACATCTCATATTTCGAGGTTACCCAAATCTCCAGTGCATTTTTGCACTCTAGCTTCCTTCCATTTGAAAGCAAAAAGGTTTAATCTCTGTTATTAGAAACAACCTGAACTGTAGCTTTGAGTAAGCGGCCAAATTGAAGAGCTATTCATTTTGATACCTACTCGTATCTATTTATATACTAATACGATCAAGCAACTCTTAGAACAAGCAAATGAGCAAATGCTTCCCCTGGGGCTAGGGCTGTGCCACCCCCGGAGCATTCCTTGGGAACGCAGCTTAATTAAAGGGAGGCATCATGTCCTCAACTCTAGCCAACTATTTCTGCCCCTGCAAAAACCCAGCAACCCTCGGGTCTTCACACCGTTTGTTCCCCTGCCCTGTGGAAAGGGGCTCCTCTCCACTGGAATCCTAACCAGCCCAGGTATTCAGATCCCCCACCCAGTGGAAGGACATCTGCGTGCTCTGACACGGGGCTTGGGAAAGGAAACAAAAAATGAGGAGACAAAATGGGGTCTGAAGGAGAGAGCGAGAAAAGCCCCAGCAAGTTTAGGGAAAAGAGTAAATTTCTCTAGTTGCCTGTTCAGATCCCCATGCCCTTTTAATATTTATTTGGAATAACGTGCTAAAAATCAAATTCCTTCTACTTTTAACCTGGAGAAGATTTCAACAGGGCTTCTCCCCCTTATGTTACCGTTACCACTCGAAGCGTGTAAGACCTGGTATGGTGGAAGACAGTTATTCCCAAGTTTGTGAGATCTACCCCAGAGCTAGGGGCAGGAACAGAAAACCAGGGTGGGAAATCATGATGATATAACAGGATCTAAAAATCATGATTTAACTAACAGAAGCACTTCCAACTCTCAAATCTTAGGGATGCCTCTCCCTAAGATTTGAGCTCTGCGGCACTTTTCCTCGCCAGCCTTCTACTAATGCACAAACTGGGTCTGTCCCCCACACCACGAGCCTCCAACTCTTCTGAGATCAAGCAGGGGTAAGAGAGGTCCTTTTCCTCGGGAACATTTTTAGATGGCTTTAAAAAAAGACCCTTCACATAGCCTTGAAATGCTGCCAATGAAAGCGGAAAACAGGGAAACGAGTGTCCTCTTTCTGAAGGAACTAAACCACAAAGGGACCCTGAAGCTTTCTGAAAAGACCTCTTTAAAAGACCCTGCAGGGGACTGATTGGCAATGACTCTGAATATTCACCTCCTGACAGGTGGGAGTTTATTAATTGCTGTAGATTATTGCACAGGCATAATCTTAAGAATCAAGTCAAATGCTAGATCTCTGCAACTCCAAGAGACCACAAGTCTTCTGTAGGCGAATTCCAGGCTGAAGATCAACCCTTAATGCTTGTATGAGCTTATGGAACCCAGCAGGGAAAACAAAAGCATGGTAAGAATTACGTGCAGAGGCACGCACTGGTCATGCAACTGAAATCAATCATAAGCACTGTAACATATCAAATGTATGGCCAAGGATGGGAGAAAAGCAATTTGGCTATTTTTCTACAGGCTTATTAGAACCAGAGTCCAATTTCTAGTAGCTGTTACAGATCCAGCCCGGAATCCATGAGCGCATATCTATTTCTTGACTCATGACAGCAAAAAAAGGAAGTTTATTGTCATTTTTTTCTCTAAAGCACACTCCCCAATATTCCATAAAGATGATGAGATATGTATGGTGAATGCTGCCTACAGCAGTGTATTGCTACTAAGAATGCTCTCAGTATTTGTCCAGTTTTCCTTACAGAACTACCTTTAGCTCTTTTTAACTGACAGCAATTTCTGCCACATTTAGCCGTGACATCAGTTTTCAAAGCTGATTATCTGGATAAGCTAATCTCCTAAAAACACAGGTTAGCATTCTGGCATAAAAGAAATTAAGGTGCATACTGCATTAATACCAGAGCCAGGAGATAAACCAGACTTCTGCTCTGCTAGACCTTTATAAACCAGTAGAGTATAAACATGTGGCTACACCATTAACACGGAAGCAAAAGAAAATGGAATTTACAAAGCAAGATAATAATAATGAAGTTGAACAGACACTGTGTCTTAATTGGATAGAAAGAAGCGTGCTTACTAGTTTGCTTATTAGCAAAAGATTTTTTTCCATCAGAGCATCCTGATTCTGAAGGCAGCCATGAGTTAACTTCATATAGGCATGAACTGATTATTTTCCATTTTTTTCTGAGTATTTTTAGCTGACAAATAGTTCATGATCAGTAAGCTATGCCATATTCTAAAAAAGGCTCATTGTTGGCTGCTATCAGCAGCAGGATCCTAGACTCTGCGGAGGTTTGTGAAGATCTCCGTTGTCAGTCTGATTAATGCCGGGATGAAAGAAGTATCTAACATCCCTCCTGAGCCCCCTGGGAAATCAGTCAGATAAAAATCCAGCATCATTCAGTTACTGAATCAGATCTGGGAAACGAGAGGTTTCAAAAATGGGTTACATACCAACAAACCCCCCCCCCCAAAACCAGAAAAATAAAAGTTTAGGAGAGCAGGGGAGGGGGAAGATAAAAAAGATCCCCAAGTTTAATCTCTGCAGATGGATCTGGTCTCCCTGTGCTCCGAGATCTACCGCGCTTCATCACTGACATCATCAACACACAGGCAGCTCTGCACAAAATTCCTAAAAAATTCCCTCTCCCAGGCCTTCTCCTCTTTAGCTTGTAGCAAATGACTGTGGCTAGGGTCATCACCGTCACTTGCAAGTGAAATGAAGAGATGTTGTCATCATCCTCACGGGACTACTTCCAAAACAAAATTCCTAGCAAGCACAGTGTAGAGTAATACGTGACAGTTGTAGAGAAACAGAACAATAACTTTCAAGACTATTTTGTATATTTAGTGGAAGAGTATTCTTTCTGAAATATATTTATTACCTATAAGACAGTATTTTGAGATCCTTTTAAAATGCATCAATTTCAACTCTTTAAAGCTTTTAAAATAATAATAAAATAAGAAAAAATGAATAATCCCAAAACACATCTCCGAGGAGATGGGGAAAGGTAATGAACAAAATCTCCCAGGCACACAAACATCATTCCAGACAGCCAACCACTCATAACATTGAAGAATTACACCTGTTCTGCTAAATGAGCCACTAGTCTGGAAAACATGACTGATAGGTCTCCTGCACTGAATTACCCTGGGTAATTTATTCCATACCTGCATGGTTCAGTAATTATGATTGATGTGCATTTGAGAGCCAGAGAAAGGGAGCTGACTGTACTGTAATGTAATATAAAAAAGTCAAGAACAAGTTTTAAAGTTAGCTGTGTAAGTCTAGTTTAACTGTTGGTAAAACTGTTAGAGCCAAGAAGGAGAATTAAGCGCTCATACTTACTGAGGAATCAGGAAGATGCTCCTCCTCTTGAGAAAAAGAGCTATTGAAAGCTCTAAATGTCTCACTGTTCTGTTTGTGCTTTTCAATTGTTGCTTGAATGACCTGAGACAAAAAAATTCCAGCAAAGATGAGAAGCGTCACAAAAGGAGTCTTGGAAAAATTCTCTCATAGGAAAATGGTTAGGATTATTATTTTAGTGAAAATCCCTTACACTTGCATAAATGAAATGGACACTTAAAAACCTTAATTAACAACTATGAGCGGCGGTGTTAGCTCTCTGCTGTTTAAGACTGCTATCAGACAGCGTCTGCAAGAAGCCACAAGGCTAATAACCTCTCACTGCTCAGTCTCTTCTCTCGCTGGGCTCGGGGGCTGCAGGAAATGGGTCCCCCCGAAACACTCACGCACTGCCACCCCACAGCGGGTCAGGTCACCAGTGGGACCCTGGCCGGGGCTCCACAGTCCTCCATGAGAAGCTTTGCCAGCCCGGACCACCCAGCCTCCTCGCACAGACACATACGTTCATTCCCAACACCCACAAGACCATTCTAAAAACGGAAGATGCTGACTAGTTTCCACCCCTATCACAATGGTTTGGTATTAACCTGAATCCATTCCCTCTTCTCCTCTTCTGTCCTGTTAAAACAAAAGAAAAATACAGAAACCGTCATAATTCCACTTCAGCTTCACAGCTTTATATCTATCAAGATTTTAGCTTTGCTATCCACTATTTTATAAACATTATTAAAAATTATTGACCTCAACTATTATCAAACAAATGCAAAAAATGTTTGAATTATTAATACAGTGGAACCTACAAGCACTACTATAAACACCAGAAGCTTTCAATAAAGCAAATCGACATAGCACATTAACACACTCTGACTTAGGACCAACATATTCTCTTACAAGTTACGCATCTCTGATGCTCATCTCCTGGCTTAAAGCTATGTCATACTAGCACAGCCATATGCCCTAGATCATAAATTTCTACATAAATATTCACAAACCTGGAAAGGCAGAACAAGCACCATACCTGGCCTGTAGTTCCAGCGATCTCTTTTTTCCTGTTATTGAAAATGTATGAGCCACGTTTTGCTTGGCAATTTCTTGGACCTGTAAAAAGAACATGTCGGCTTCTTGCCACTCTCCATTGCCTTTCAATCATTTTTAATGACTTACAAATATATTCATTCTTTGAAATACTTAGTTGAAAGGATCACTCCGTAATACAGTACAGAGGTAGAAAAAACAAAGGATTGTTTCCGTGATCACTTGTCTTGCTACAAAACTCCTGAATCTGTTATCACCACAACCAGCCCCCTGCAGAAGTACGGGGAAAAGGTGGCTCCTGTGTCAGCTCGGTGACAAGGGAAGGCTTTCAGTCAAAGCATGCACAGAGTCACCATTTGCTTACCCACTTTTGGATGATTACCTCGTAATAATTAAAAAAAAAACAAAACCCAAACCCAAACCACAAACCAAAAACCTGAGACCCAAAGCTGGGTTTTAGAATTTTATTATATTTCTACATAAACACATTGTTGTATTTTTGGATTCAGAGGGGATCTCACGCTATCGAGTGGGGAAACATTAAAACGGGTGAAAAGAAGAAATGCAAACCTGCAGTCCTGCAATGTCCATCTTCTCTCGAACACTGAACTTCTGGCCTATCAGTCTCAGTTTTGGCACGCAGTATAGCACCATGCTGTTAAACTGCAACAAGGGAATATTTTAAGTTGAGGCATTACACGCTGGACAGAACCTGCATGGTTCCTGCATGGAAAAGTACCATTTCCCAGCACAACTCTGAAAATAAGAGAGCAGCAAAAAAACTCACCAGGAATAAATACCTATCCTGCGCTGTGCCGTTCTTCGCTGAAAGTTTCTGAATGTGTCCTTCTTTAATGAGCTCATTGGCGGGGTTAACAATATCCTCTTCACCACCGAGTCGCTCATAGACTTCCAGAAGCTTGTGCATCTTCTCCTGCAAGTACAAAACCCCCAGCAATTTAAATAATAATTAAAAAAAAAATATTCCGCTTTGACTATTACCCATAGTACCATTTTTGCGGTAAGTGTAAGTAAGTAGGAAAGAAAGAAGTCTTTCACTTCTGCTATAGCTTTGCATTTTCAAAAATTAATGAATACCTGTTTCATACTCTTCAGTACTCTTCCCTGCTCTGCATCAGTCACTCATGGGTCTTACTTGGATTGCACCATTTTAATGACATTTTGAAATCAATCTATTTGACATTTTTAGATATTCCTATTCAACAATAAATATTTATCTTTGGAAGCAATGGCATCAGGTCCAGTAAAATCAGTGGCCAAGTTGGAGACTAGTACCTTACCAAATCAGCTCCAAGTTTGAATTTATTAACTTCCACCTCACATCTCAGACTAAGGTTTCTGCTACAGCATGATCATTTCTCAGCTTCTGCGAAGTTTTCCTTTTCAGCAAAGCACCGTTTCTACTTTATATTAAGCCATCCAAATATTACAGTCCCTCTAGATGGTATTCCCATGGATAAAGGTAACTAGTTCACCCGCTTGCAGCTACTGTATTAAGCACTGCAGCAGCTTTAACAAGTGAAAATAAGAAAGGTGTGTAAATCTTGCTACTGAGTTAGAGCATTTGGAAAGGTTTGGCTTTCAACTGCAAGCTGGACTGATGTGCTCCAAATGGCACTGTCAGCAAGTGGTCAGAAAGTGAGGACAGAGATTTATGCAATTACACCCCAAAATATGCCCAAGCACATCTCTAAATCATACCTCAACCTATCTATAGATTAAGCTGGAATTTCAGGTCTTTACACACTTTGTTTACCCCCATTTGACTTGAAAAATTTCACCGCAAATATACATCGCACCAGTCCCTGTCCTAATCAATTCTTCTGACATACAATTAAACAAATGAACAACTAAAAACCCACCAAAAAACCCTAAACAAAACCAAAGTGTTAAAACAAACCTTGCAAAACAAAATGGGGCAGGGTGGTGGTGGTACGGACTAAAACCAAATAAGCAAATCACCTAACCCCCTAAAGGCAGTAGAGTTTTTCCATCCAATGGGAAGATGAGCAAGAGATCCCACTAATTTAAAACAAAAAAAAAAAAAACCAAACAGTGAACTGTTTTCCTTAAAGCTGTTTTCTTCAAAGAACAACCTAGAACACCAAGAGCAGCTCCAAAACCTGAGGGACATCCATACTTCTAGGAAAAGTCAGCTTTGGAAGCATGATTTATTTCTTCTACTACCCCACAACAGGAGGAAGCAACCGACAATTAATTCAAACCTCTACTAACTTTTGGAGATTTTGCTACAGCCCTTGCTTTTCTTTCGGTGCATCCCGCGGGGGCTCTGCAGAGGCATGCGTGCAGGACGGCACGGCTCTCGCGCTGCATTGCTCCCCGTCAGCCTCACCCGCTGCCCCAGCACACCCACTGCCCCTTCTGCTGCGACGTGCGAGTCGGGAAACCCACGAGGTCAAACCCAAAACTCTTACTCAGATATTTTTCCTTCAAGTCTGATCAGGCAAGATCTATTAATTACAGAAGAATTCAATGCAATAAGAAGCCCTCATTAGAGGCATCAGGTTCTTATCAGCAATGAACAGGGGTACAAAATTATTATAGCAGCCTTTTCTAACAGGTGTTTGCAGACTAACAGAAAAAGCATCCAACTGAGAAAGCGACTGGCCGGTGGCTTCATGTTCCTGCTGTCTGTGGAGATACTGGACACAGTCCCCAGCAAAATAATTGCTACTTGTGGAGGAGTTGTTCAAGGCCCCAAACTAGAAAAATTTCCACCAAAATATATCCTTACCAAGAGAACACACTAGACTCAAACAGAAATAGATGGTTTCAAAACTGGTTTTCATGCTGAAAATACACAGACAGTAGCTGGTTACTTCCCCATAGCAGCCACGGGAAACGTGTTCTCACTGGGTCCCCGCCGGCCGGGAGAGGGAAGTAAGGGTCGGGGACGAGATGGGACCTAAACCCTGTACCCACAAATGGTCGGTCAGTGTTAAGCCTGTGGGGGGGTGGCCCTGGCTGGGGGCTGGGTGCCCTCCCAGCCACTCTGTCACTCCTCTCCGCAGCAGGACAGGGGGAAAATAAGATGGGGGGAAAAAAGCCCCAAAACTTATGGGTCAAGATAAAGGCAGTTTAATAAAGCAAAAGCAAAAGGCTACGCTCAGAAGCAAAGGAAAACAAAAGATGTATTCTCTACATCCCATCAGCAGGGGATGTCTGGCCACTTCACGGGAAGCAGGCCTTCAGTACGCATGGCGGTTGCTCCAAAAGACAAATGTCATAAATAACAAATGGCCCCACTTCCTCCTCCTTTCTCTCAGCTTTTATTGCTGAGCAGACGCTGTACGGTACGGAATATCCCTTGGGTCAGTCGGGGTCAGCTGTCCTGGCTGTGTCCCCTCCCAAGATCTTGCCCACCCCCAGCCTGCTGGTGAGGGCATGTTGGAGAGACAGCCCAGATGCGTGCCGGCACTGCCCACCGGTGTTGTGGCTACTCCTGCTGGCTACCACGCACAGCACTACGAGAGCTGCTCTGGGGAGAATTAACTCCATCTCAGCCAGACCCAATACGGTGTGATACACAGCATTTCAGATCTATTAGATATTCAAGCTCCAGAGGCATGTGGGTGCACAAAAAGGATAACATCTGTAAGTATAAAGTCCGTTTACTTTAATGGTAACGCACGACCTGTTCTGTATGTAAACCACGTGCTAACGTTCGAAATCTCCACGGTCTCAGACTGCCCAGCTACAGAAGCGTAGCTTACCAAAGCTGCTGACACCCAATAAACGCACACTCTGGGCATTTAAAATGAGCCCAAATCAAACCAAAACAACCTCCACTCTGGTGAAGACCTGTAGGACCAAAAAAACTAGTGTGAAAACCTGCAAGGACACCTTATGAATGGACCTAATTGGAATACTTTCAACATTTTTCAATGAAAAGCAAATAATGAGTTTTATGAAGACCTCTTTTTTTCAACCCATTGGGTTCTTAAGAACAAGGAAAGTGAAATTTAGGCCCAACAACCCACAGTAACCACAAAAGGATCACCTATGAACTAGATATCCAACTGATGTTTAAAGCCTGACTCACTGTATTTGAAAATTCTCCCCAGCCTACTTTACTGAGCCTATTGCAACAGGGGACCATTGGTTCAACCAAGCGTTTCACTCAGATTACAATTCCATTACGCAATTTCTACTCACCATCTTTCGGATGGCTGCATTTGAATGGTTTGCTGCCGTAGATATGAGCTCCAGTGATTCTGCAATAAAGGTAGGAACAGTTATGCATTCTCCAGACTGTATCTGTTAATGACACCTTGGGGGTTTTTCTCACCTCCTTGCTTAGTGTTTTTCCTGCAAAATTGCTGTTGCAAAAGCAAGGACTGTATTTTTCCTTCCATAAAGCAAAAGGAACGCTTAGAAGCAGTTACATACGCAATCACTTCTGCATGTTCAGCTGGTCCATGTGCACCTAAATGTTTAATCTTTCTCTCCCAAAAGTCCAGGCAAGCCAAAGCGCAGACAAAAAAACTTCACCTTCTAGGAATCAACCTACTAAAAGTTAACTTAAGTCTCGCTTAAGTCTTCACAAGCATGTTTTTAAGAGTGTTTTCCTAAAACATGGCTTGTGTGCTTACGGTAACATGAACCCTGTTTTGGTCAAGATCACAAACTCCTAGAACCCAACAGAAGTCCATTTCTCCCGTTTCTCTGTGTTAACGGAGTTAACCTGCCTTCACAGGGAAGGATACACACTTAAGACCACACTTATTTTCTTCGTCTGGCTATTGCAAGGATGCCCTCCTGTATTTGCCCTTGGCCATACAACGGATTAAATAAAAACGCCAGATGTTCTGCTATTACACACCTCAATATTTTGTCATTTGCCAAAGCTCCCTTCATTCCTAGAGCTGCCATATCAACCCTTTTCTTCTCTACTCTAAGACCATTCAAAATCCCTTTGTGCTGCGCTTGCCAATATTTTGATTAATTCAAATCTCCATTTCTACTATAACGCTAGCTGAAAGTATCTGAACATGTGAAGAAAAAGCTCTCCAAGATTTTATTGTGCTCATTAGACAGAGAGGAGTTTACATGTACTTTCAGCATCTTTCCTGTCTGGAGACTCTTCTGGAAGTTTCTTCAAATAGTCCTTTAGGAGAAGCTCATAACGAGGAATCCTTTGCACTGGTTCAAGCATGTGATGCTGTAACGTCAGGTTTCCACACACCTCCTGTTTCTGTAAAAGAGAGAAAACAAGCATAGAAGGGTTTGGTTTTGTCCCTGCCTTTGGTGTTACACAGCAATGAAAAACGACCATTCACGTAAGTTAGAGGAGTGTAGAACTTCTCAAGCTATCACAGAATCATTGAATCATTTATGTTGGAAAGGACCCCTAAGATCATTGAGTCCAACTGTAAACCTAA